AAAAAAAAAAAACTATATTGATTAATTTATTATGTTAATTAAGCAATAAAAAATTCTTCACAATAAAATTGTCGAGTCTCTACCAACATAAAAATAAATTTGAATCGTCTATAATTCTCCTCTTAACTAATTGTGTAACTAAATTCAATGATCCAAAAAACATTGAATAACATAATTAAAAATATTTCAAACCATAATTATCTTTTGACTGTTCTATAATCAACTGTTAAATTTAATTATAATAAAATTTTCATCATAATTTTAGAGGATCGAAATCCCTCCAAAGACAACGTTACAATTTACATGGAAGAACAAAAGAATTTTGCAATTAATTAATCCGTGAACGTGACGCCATTTTGAATTTTCAGCCATGGCATCTCATCAGAACAACTTTCCGGCAAACTCTTTAATCTCTTCATCCGCCGACGAAGAAGATGAATAAGAGGCGAGGCGTCTTAGCTCAGACAGACTCCTGCCAAGCTGCAATGCCATCTTCATCTCAAAAATCTCTCCTTGCTCCCTCATCCTCTCCTCCTCCCCCAAACTGAACTCTATCTCCTCCTCTAATCTCCGATAGTATCCCGCACAGTTCCTAAACAGCTCGAACACCATCCCCACCTGCCCTCCGTGCTCCAGCGTGTTCACCACCGCTGCAAGCGCTCCTCCGACCACTGCCAACCCAGAGCCATGGTTACCGCCGATGGTCGAAGCAGCAGCAACTCCGGCGAGCAGAGGGCCGGCGAAAGATAAGAACTTGTTGATGTTAAGCACCAATTGTCCGAGGCTGACATACTGTTTCTCATCCTTGGCTTTCAGGACTCTCAAAACTCCCCTCATCTCCTCTTCCTTCTCACTGCTCCACCCATTCCGGCCAAGCACTTGCTTCCGCCGCGGCTGCCTCTGCTTCGGCCACCACCTGGTAGGTTCAACTACTTTGGGAAATTTTTCTAGCATTCCCGGGAGCAGGGGAAGCGGATACGCCTTTTGCAGCGCGAGAACCTTATCCATGGCCTCTGCTACATCCGATTCACTCAAGTTACCCGCACCCAAGCTGAGAGTTGCATGGATTGATCTCTCCAGCTGCTTAAAGAGACGGGTGGCGTTCCGCTGCTCTTCAGCAAGCTGCGAAGGCTGAATCTTGTTGACGAGCAGCATTAGTCCTGCGGCTGAAGTGAAGAGAACGGCGGAGGAGAGGTTCAGAGAGACAGATGCCTCTGCTTCAGTCATGGAGCCGATGGCGGCCATAAGAGAGGCGGCGAGGGTGATGGAATTGATGGAGTGGAGGAAGAGGTGGTTCCAATTGTTCCTCTGCTCGCCAATTATGGCATGCATTTCTGCGCGCTCTGCGGCTGTCTCTGCTATGGCAAGGAGCTTGGTGGTGATTAAGCCGTTTTCCTGCTCCTCTTTCTGAGTTGCCAGTTTGTCATTATCAACGGTCGACATTTCTCTGAGCGTGCTGAGTTCATGAAATGGGATGAGAGATTGAAGGCTTGGAAGGAATAAAGGCTTGATCTTTGGCCCGACGGGAGCATGGAGGTTTGCTCCCCATCTTCCACGGCAGTGCGCGAGCTCCGGCAGCCTAATGGGAGAAGATCGGAGGCAGTGGGCTTGTATGGCGGCCATCTTCTTTGTATAAATCTTAGGTTCTGATTTGTAGTGTTGAGATTAGGATGGAGAGGGAGGGTATTTATAGATGCATGAATGCGGGGAAGATGATGTTTGAATTGTTAGTAGTTGTAGACGTTGTCAACGGAGACCACGCTGAGACGTTTGAATTAGAGACCATGGAAGTTGTCAATCTATTGAAAGTGTGTTTGACTTTTTAGGATTGTGCTAGGAGTACGAGATCTTTTATCAAATTCAAATTTTTGTGGGAGCTCAGCTTGAGTTCTATTTGAGTTTGATTCACATTGAGATTATTATACTTGCTAACACAACTAATTTAATAAAATAAGTTTCATAATTAAATTATTTGGAAAATTAATCATAATATTTTTAAGAACTTGTTGACCTTAAAAAAATAAGTATTTAAATTATATTATTCATAAAGAAGCTTAAATCGAACATTCTTAACAAGTTTATTCACGAACTTTATATGATATTTTTCATGACATAAATTAATCGAGCATTAAATTTTTTTAAACTTGTTTGTTTAGCATCCTATCTGCAAAAGTGTTCAAATTTGTTCAAATAGTTAATCAAATTTACGTACCCTACAATTCTATATATTTACATATCTAACACCTAGAGTTTTATATTTCACATTTATCACACTTTTGTGTCATAAATATATGCATGAGAATGTGTCTTTTTCTCTTCTAAAAGTAAATGATGGTGTGATCCTTTTTATGTGATATTAAAGTTTTAAGTGCCATACATATAAACATAAAAAAATTATATTTTTCTTCTCAAAACTATGCATATTCTGTTGAGAGTACAAAATGCCATAATCGCTTGTCAAATATTTTTTAAAAATTCGAAATGTCAACATTAAAGCTCCTCAGACAAAATTGATAGTGGTATGATTGAAGGGTCCAACTAGAGGTTGACACATGTCTATATTACTACTGAT